GTGGGCGTGGACGCTATTGTGATGGAGCCTAGCCTTACGGCCGCGCTAAGGCGGTGCAGGCTTTGCTACTACGATAAGGTGTTGTGTGTGCTGTGCGCCTTCTTTTGCTGGTAGTATTGGCCCGGGTCGGGCCTTGGTTAGTAAGTTCGGATCTCTGCTGATTGATTGCTTCGATTGATTAATTGATTGATTGCTGTCCGTGCAGCTTTGATTGATCGTTGGTCGCGGCTCACTGACGGCCTTCTGAAGCAGATTGACAAGCTGCCTTTTCCAGGGGGCCTGTAGGACAGAATTTCCTATTAACAACGCCCTTGGCGAAAGACAGCACTGCAGGTACATTGAAGCTATGTACGTACTGCTCCGAACGTCTAGCAGAAAGGCCAGTGACGGCAGTGGCTGCTTCAAGCTCCAGACTCTGGTTTATGTAGCCCCTGACTATGTCAATGCTGAAAATGTCCACACGAAACCGGCACAACAGAGTCTTAATAGAAAGAGAGCCCTAGCGCTGGAAAGTACGTGGTGAAACCGAACGTTAGGCCTTGGGCAGGACTTCAGTCTGCGCCCCCAGAGCGCAACCACCCACCAGCCAAGCCACCCGCCCCGCGCCTTCCCTCCTGCCCCTCCCACACCACCAGCAACCTTCTCCCAACCTTCCAGGCAAGTGCGCCCCCCCAAGCTTACTCAGCTCGCTTACGGCCTCGCGGTCTCTGGCAGGATATAAAAGCCTCCTTCCTCCCCCCCAACTTTCTTTCCTCACCACCCACCCCATTCTCACTGCCAGGTTTGCCCCCTTTTTCACAGAACCTGCTGATTACAATCTTGGAAGCTCGCAGGTCATTTCTCGGAAGCCCTTCCGCCGTGGGAAGGCCCCGTGCGGCCCCTATTGCACTGACTGGGGTTCGCGTGGCCTTGACTTTTGTCTTGGCTTTTCTTTTTCATTGTGGTTTGCACCTTGTGTGCGACTTCGAGGAAGAAGATTGTCGTTTGACTTGACTCTTATGGTCTGCCGTGTGTCTGCTGAAAGGTTGGATTGTTGGGTACGTCCTTGGTTGCTGGCCTTGGTACGTCTCGAGAGTAGGAGTTATCTTGTACCAAGTCATTTATAGGCTCTCGAATGGATTGAGGCGTGTGACGCTGTCTTGGGTGGAGGCTCAAGGGCGCCGATGTCTGGTAACGCGCCATAAGGCGACCGCGCTGCTGTCCGTCGAAAGCGCCAGTGGCCACAGCATTTCTCAAGGCGAATCACAGGTTCTGTATCTCTCTGGATATGGAGGGCTACCTACGCAATGCTGTACATGGCTGTCGGCGTCTCGCTGGTGTGTGGGTCGAGCGATCCTGTGGGCGACAGGAGACTGCCCTGCCCGCCCAGCTAAATTATGACACTGAATTCTTGAGGGCACGTATGGGCATAAAGGGTTATGGCAAGCAGCCAACTGCATACTGCCTCTTCAAAGGGCTCTGTTGTGTCCGGCTATGCGCATGCTGCAGGCGCCCGCGCTCGAAAGTCTTTGTGCCGGCTCTCATCTGGCTGCCAGGCAGCCACATCACAGCGAGGTGGTACAAAGAGCGTACTAAAGGAAAACAGGAGGAGCTTTTGAGCTGTAAAAAGCGTCGAGCCTTCGCGATATGCCAGGCGTGGCCGGCGAACATGGCCTGTGGCCTCCATAGCTCGTCCGACGCGCCCTCAACGCGCTGCAGGCGGCACACAGAGGCATCATGGAGGGCAGAGGGCGTGTGTACACTGCCTGTGCATGTCGCTGCATCGCACAAAGATGCATTAAGGCAAAGAGTCGCATGGGTTCTTCGCGAAAACGCCGACCGGCACTCCCTTAAGGGCAGAAGCAGCCAGTTCCCCCTGCCAGCCATTCCCTGCCTCGTGCCACTCGCAGCCGTGAATGCATCAGATCTAAGAGTACCGTCGGTGGTTGTGAGAGCCTGGTTTGGGGCGGCGCAGGCCTTCGTCGCGGCCGCTCAGACCCCCTGCACGCGCCTCCAGGCCTGCCCGCCCCCCCTTCACCTCCGCCACCCACACCACCCGCCAATCCCAACCAACATCACGCAACTGCAAGTTCTTTGTGCGGCAGCGTGTCTTCTGTCTCTTTTGATTCTATCCTCGGAGGTGTCCTCAAAAGTCATTGCGGGCAGGGACGTTCCAAGGCGTGCCCGGCCGCCAACGATCCTGCGCTTGACGCGGATCCCAGCTCCCCTGACTTGCCGATACGCCGCAAACGCTTGACAGCGCAAGGAAGCCGTCTTCGCTTTCTTCGAAGTCTGCTGGTGCAGCCGGAGCGGCGGCAAGGGGCGTGTTCACGATCTTGGAGCTTGGAGGGCTCACTGACGACGCTCACTTCCGGCAAGTCAACCTAACTTTCCCTTCCAGCATACGCAGAGCTAACCACCAAGCTACGGGCACAAAGTAGATGGTTCTGGGTCTTTTGCTTAACGCGAGGAGCAATGATGACCAAGGCCATCGACTCTGGTGCCGCTGTCTACAGCCAGCTCCCGCCGACCGCAGCAGCAACAACACCTGGTCCTACTACCTGCAGTGCCTCACAGTATGTTCATGAGACACCTCGCAATGCGAAAGATGCTAACGGGCAGGCGATTGCCTTTTAAAGGCCTCTAAACGTCAAAGGCGGTATGACAAACTTGCTCGGCAAGACTCGTCGCAGATTCCAGAAACTGCCCTGCCTGCCTTTCGGCAAACGAAAACCACGGATTTCCTGGAAAAACTCAACTCAGGCATTGAACACGATCCTCTCTGGTAGCTGAAGGAGCTAGGTGCAAGAGCGCCCTCACGGAGAACCATGGACTAGCCGACAAGGTGAGAGGCAGGCTCCCACTTCTACAGACTTGTGCTGATAGAGTAACCACACAGGGAGGGAAAGGCTTTTGAGGAGCCTGAACCGCCGCTAACTGACAGCAGGAAACCCGGTTGTCGTCCGCGAAATCATCGTCCAAGCGGCCGCTGGGCTTGCCGGCTTCGTCGCAAAAGCCGTCTGCACGACCTTGGACAAGTCCATCGCACGCTTCACGCCTACTCCTACTTGGGAGCTAGCTTTCGGGCATCCAACTATGGCCTTGAGCTTTGCGAGCATTGCGGTAAGGGCTACGTGCTCCCACAAGACAAGAAGTTGATCAGGCTGACAGTATAACAGCTCGAACAGGCACGCACGTTTGAAACGGACAACACCGCCCAGTGTTCAGAGGCAAAGCTTGACGAGGCATAGAGAAGCTCGAGAGACGACTGCTATCCGCTGATTCTCCCTTTCGGCAATCTTCGCAAGATCACAGCTTGGAAACACCAGAAACTTCGGACTGCGACCCATCATGCTCAAGGATCCCATCTTCGCTCGGACTTATCAAAGACTCTGCCACATGTCATCCTTCGGGGCCGGCAACACCAGCAGCACCAGCTCTGACTACATCGTCTTGGTTTCGCAACTCGCCTTCGACGACGGGCACCAACGCCGGCGCACTTAGCAGCTGCTGAGAGGCCTCATTGCCATGCGATACGATGGTATATGGAGGGTGGAGTAGCTGCTACAAAGAATCAAGCAACAGGAAGTCCTCTCTCAGCTGGAATGAGTCGCGTTCCCTCATTTCCACGGCTTTGCTGACGATGTTGCATAGGCCCTGGATCAGAGCCAGACATGCGCGCCGTTTTCGCTTTACAAGAACCCTCAAGACAACGCCTGAGCCAAAAATGCCTGCAAGGCTGTCAGAGTCTCCGAAGGCTGCATGCCACCTTCGTTCTATCAAGAATTACCAACAACGGCGCAGCAGACGTAGAACTCAGGTGCGAGAAACTCGTCATGCTAAGGTTTGTCATGCGAGCCAAAGGCAGAGACCAAACAAAAGTGAGTTTGCTCAAAGCGTGCCCATCTTCATCCCATGGCAAACATCAAGGATTCAAAGAACGTCAGGCTGATATTTGCCAAACGATAACAAACCCATCAGCATCGGCAATGTACTTCTCAATGGACTGAGCTTCTCAAGCACACTGTATCTTGTCATTGGTAAATTTGGAGACAGCCTCATGCAATTTGGCAACACAGCCTCTGACAAAACACCAGAAACATCGGTATGGAGACCATATTCTGCACAAAGCAGCCGCACCATGCAAGCGAACGCCAGAGAAAACATCTGCGTGGGCCAAAGAGCGACTATTGTAGGGTGCAGGGCCTACAAGCAGGTCAGAGTGCCTTCTGGACTCCAGAATGAATGGCAGTGCTGTTGCGACAAAGGTGTGCTCCCGTGAATAACATCTCATGTACGAAGGCCATCGCAGCCCGGGCTCAGGATGCTTCCAGAGAGCCCGGGCAATTCACCAGGAAAGCCAGGCACTTCAGTGCACTAGGTTCTCCGCCCCGGCCGAGAGCAAAAACCCTGATCAAGCTTGGCCTGTCCGATAGTTCGGAGCAGGCTCTCTGCATATCAGTGGACATTTCAATATCGATCTCTTCAGACTTGAACTTTCTCTTACTGACTTGGTCCGCAGATCAATCACACCCCAGAGGTAAGTATGCGAGCAGCCACCGGCCCTTGCCCCATCAACCCCCACAAAGGCCATTGCAACCCGGTCTCTTCTGTTTGAGAGGACGGGCAATGCTCCAGGATAGCCGACACTTTGGTGGATCTGGTTTTCCGCTTGGCCGATAGCAACATCCCGAGTAGACAAGTCCTGATCGAACGTTACCGATCAGGAGTGATCGGCTCGAGGGACAAACATATCATGCTCATACTGATTTCCTTTTGCGTACTTGAATGCACCGGTACTGACTTGGTGCGCAGATCGCATACGCAGGAAGCAATCATAGCAGCGGCTTCTTCAGATGGCAAAAGCCGTGCGGAGACAGAGGCATCTATCCAGGTTCTCGCAATTCAAAGAGCCTGGGAAATGCACACGCCTGACGCGGGCCATGTGGGCGGTGTCGACGTGGAGGAAATGGACGCGAGCACGGAGGGCGCAGGGGATGCTGTGGGCGGTCGAAGAAACCGGTCACTTTGTCCAGCATGACCAAGGGCGAAACACCGATCGAGACATGAACGAAAGCAAGAAATGAAATTTACCAACCGGTGAACACACAAACAGCGACCAAGCTCCTCGTTGGTCGCATAGAAGGTACGTATGCCAGCATCTCCTCTCTCTCCCCCTCCCACCCCGACAAAGGCCATCGCACCCCGCGCTCTTGTACTAGGGCTCGGGCAATGCGCCAGGACAGCCAGGCACTGCGTGCATCCTAGGTTTTCCGCTCCGGCCAAGAGCAAACAGAATCACTGGCTAAACTGTGGCCTGTCCAAAGAAACGGGCTTGTCTTAAAGAACTCCAGTGAACATACCCCCATACATTTTGATGGGATTTGTTGTTAGCTTTGAGGGAAGGCCGGATGCTGACAATGGTGACAAGCAGAAATCCCAGGCAAGATGCCATCTTGGTTGAGCGGAAGCGCTCTCTGAACCTCCACGTGAGAGCTCCGCGGAAGCACGCCCATTGCGCCCAAACATACCTCTGCACGGTGATACGGGCTCCCCCTGCCCCAGCGATACGTCTTCCCGAACACACAAGCCCAAAAAGCTGAGACGCCGAGACCAAAGCCGAATCATAACCACGAGACATTGGAGTTGGAAGAATGGTGGGGAAGAAGACCGGCGTGCAGGCCACGGATGTTGAAAGGGCACGGCGAAGAAGGCTTGCAACCGCATTGCGACAAGTTGGCAGCAGGTTGACCTACTGCGGTTTTGACAGATCGTTCAGGCTGACAAGTCCGGCGAACAGGCAAACCAAGAGGTGACCCGCTAATGAGCGGACGCGCCGGCCGGGATTACGAGACTGGGACTCAAAGTCAGATAGCGGCGGAGAAAGAGATTGCGCCGACCGACGCTCACGAGCAGCGGTGCCGCAGACACAACAGTTGATCCCGGCGGAAATGAGCGCGCTGAGGTCGACATGTCGCAAACCCGGCCGCAAGCCCGCACACCCCCGCCCAAGGTCGAAGAACAGGAGCCCTTGCGCGATGGCTTGAAGGAAGCAGCGAGGCGTAGGTGCTTGATGTCCAGGCGACAGGAAAGGTGCTGAGAGGATGTAAGTGTAGCGTGCTCATCAAAAGGAGCAAATACTTCATGGTTGTACTGACAGTATGCCACTTCATGGTGACTTCGCTCGAGACGTTCCTCCTCGCGCGCCATAGACCGCCGACTCTTCCATCAGGGCGGCACTGATCGACCTCCGTGAAACATGCCAAAGATGAGCGAGGGCGAGAACGAAGAGCGGACCTCAATGGCGGCCAACACCCGCAAGTCTCCGAGCCCAATCCCAAGATGCCATCGAAAGCCAAGCGGTGCCCGTAAGTCTAGTATGATGAATGACCTCGCTCTCCTCTGACATTTCCTTCAAAGAGTAAAGGTCAACCTCTGCCCCACAAGCCATGAAAGTCCTCCGCTGCTTGCCTGATGGAGATATTTCAAAGTTTGCCGCACGATCACGTGCTTCCGCGGACGAGCACCAGATCATATACACACCAGCAAACTACCTACCTTTGACCGAGAACGCCTTGACCGAGAAGTTCCGAGAAAGAAGAAAAGAGACGAGGCGTAGCCAAGACGAGCCACCAAAGGTAAGAGAGTAGAGACGAGAGACTGGACTTAGGAAAAAAAAAAGATTGACTGACTTTCCCACAGACCAGAATGGCCAGGTACTTCTGAAAACGCAACCACCAAAGACAAGACAGCGGAGACAGGAACTTGGAATCAGGAAAAGAGAAGACTGGACGACATTCCCACATGCCAAGACGGCCAGGTACTCAAGGAAAACGACGACAAACGGAATTCCCACTTGCCAGAACGGCCAGGTACTTCTTCAAAGATATGACTGAAAGAAGGTTTCCCACATGCCGAATGTATGTCGGAAGGCCAGGTACTTTGAGAAGAGAGACGGGTATGGATGATCCATATCGAAATACGCAAGAGACTTGAGAGAGAAACTGACTTTCCCACATGCCCAAGGCCAGGTACTTCACGTGACTGAAGGAAAAGCACCATGGTATCCCAGATACCACAACGACCAAGCGCATCGACAAGTAGAGAAAAAATGAGAGTTCCCACATGCCAGAGGCCAGGTACTTTGGAACAACAGAATGACTCGATCCTCAGAAGCCAGGTCGGCAAAGACTTTTGAAACAACAAGAGAGACAGAAAAGCTTCCCACATGCCCGAGGCCAGGTACTCCTCGAAGGCAAGTAGAAGAAAACAATATTTCCCACATGCGCTGACAGCCAGGTACTTAAGGAAGACAGAGAGAGCAGACAATTTCCCACATGCCAAAGGCCAGGTACTTCATGGCGACGGAAAAAGAAAAGAGTGGACTTCCCACATACCACAAGGTCAGGTACTTGACAAAGACAGAAAGAGAGCGGACAAGATTTCCCACTTGCCACTGGGCCAGGTGCTCCACGGACAGAAAAAGACAAGACTGGACTTCCCAACAGCCAAAGGCCAGGTACTTCAGACAAGAAGAAAGACAGAAAGAACGGACAACATTTCCCACGTGCCAAAGGCCAGGTACTCATAGAAAAAGACAGAAAGAACAAGCAACGATTCCCACATGCCACAAGGCCAGGTACTCCAACACGACAGAAAAGAAAAGACTGGACTTCCCACGTGCCACAGGGCCAGGCACTTCTCGAAGACAGACAGAGAGATAAGACAGAATTTTCCAACAGCCGATGGCCAGGTACTTGAAGAGGACAGAGAGATGTAAGTACTTCCCACATGCCACACAGTTAGATACTCCAAAGACAGAAAGGAAGAAAAGCTGACTCTTAAACCCCAATAGGAAAAACCGGGCGCTGCGAAAGTAGCGCGAGACGATGCTGCCTTCCCACGTGCCGAAGCGGCCAGGTACTTGAAGATGGAAGAACAACAACGAAACGACTTCCCATAGACCAGAGGCCAGGTACTTTGAGGTAAGAGATGACGATGAGAAAAACTTGAGATGAAGAAGTCAAGGAAAGGACGCTGACTTGGAGTAGAGAAAAACTGTGAACGACTTGACGGATAAGGCCATGCAAAGCAAGAAGAGTAAGGGAAAATGAGGAAAGAGAAAGAGACTTTGAAGCTTTAGCCGAGGCTTCAGAAAAGGAGGACCGAAACCAGCGGATCTGGGTACCTTGGAGACCCAGAACAGGTAACTCCATGTTCGTGCCGCAAGACTTGAGCAGAGGACCAAGCCAAGAAACAACAGATATCGCGGAAAATCAACGACAAAAGGAAATTCCACCAAGGGTACTCGCGGAAAGACACAGGAACGACAGAATGAACTTCCCACTGAGGGTACTCGCAGGAACAGCAAGGACTCGAGAGATTTCCCACCAAGGGTACTTGAGCGCAGTACGCAACAAAGGAGACTGACTTGAGAGACAACAAACGATGATCATCCAAGTACAGACTTGGTGACCCGGCCGAGTTGTGAGAGCCATCCATCTGTGATGCCAAGAGAAATCGCCGAAGGATCGCCGACTCGGGCCCGGAGCGGAAATGGAGACTGTTGGCGCCAAGATGGACGCGCAACCAAAAGAAGAGGATAAGAGCAAAAGAGAGCGGAGAGACTGAGATGCGAAGACGGACGTAAGAGCTTGGAAAAAGACTCCATGGCTTGAAAAGAGCGAGTTGTGAGAAAAAGCTGTGGAAGACTGACTTTGCGGGGACTTGAGGAAAGAAAGTAATCAAAAAAAGGAAATCAGGACCTTCAGCGCGTGCAAGCGATGAAGCAGAGTTTGAAGAAGCCGGTAAATGGGTGTGTAGCCGCGGGACGACCGTTCCAGGGGGCCCCTATTGCTCATGTGGTGTGGACAAGTCCCGACAAGAGAAAGAGGTGGAGTTGAGCGAGGTGCGAGCAAAAGGCGGACGGCGGAGAAAAACCGCATCGATGCCTGCAGTGCGAGGTACAAGCAGGTGCCGTGGATCTCAAAGAGTGAACGGCGCAAAGAACAGCGCATGGAGACGAGGACTAAAGAGCCGGTGTGCAGATGAGGTTGTGGACATTGACCTTCCAGGACCGAAGCAGCTGAAGAGACCTGCCTGGAACAGGGCGCTCAGGCTTGACCTGTTTGAGGAGAGGGTGCACGAATCTTGCAGGCCGACGCTGAGAAAGAGCTTGGGAAATGGCTCGCGGTTTGGATTGTCGGCCCTGTGAGTAGAGTGTAGTCAGACCGGTCTCGTAACAGCGAAAGAGTGGGATGGCAGAAAGTCGCTGATTGTCAAAAGGATAGGGGTTTTGGGCAAGGCACAGCGGACGTCTTGGCACAATCTGAGGCTCAACCGCCCCAAAACAATACCAAGGATGGAGCTACCCCCTACAGCAATTCCGGATATGTTGAAGAGCAAGGGCAATGCGACAATGACATAGACTTACTGTGGTCAAACTGTGGTACGAAAAAGGTTGTTGTGTCGATATGCGACGAGGAATGACAGAGCTGAGAGCCCCTAACGACAAATCGCTTCCATTGTTCGACGTGCTCCGCTTGGGAGTCTTGGTATGATTATGAACACACTGTGACCGAAGAAAATTCCTGTTACCGACGACGCCTTTGCTATGCTCTCAGAAGAAGCGCCACCAGATGAAGATGATCATGATGAGGCCGACCGCTCCAATGGGGCCATACTGTCGCCGAGTCAGCTTCCTGGAAACGCACGATAGCGCAAGGGGTTGCGACACTTACCTGCTTGACAAGCAGCTCCCAGTTAATTCTCACCGCGGCTTTCTTGTACTTGCGGCTATCCTCGCGCAATCTGCTGCTCATGTCGCCCATGCGCTCGAGGCTGTCACCGCGGTACAGCAAGTCCTCGATGTTCTTTGTCATGACCTTTGTGACGTCCCGCAGCTCATCGTTCAGCTTGTCGAGGTTCTGTGTCGCGCGGCTGTCCTGATACGTCTTCTTGGTGCGCTGGATGAATGTGTCAAACTCGACGAAGGCGTAAGGGCGGCAAGTTGCAGCCAGGTACTGCTGCGAAGGGTAGACTGTGGTGAACTCCTGACAGAGGTCCTGCAGGTAGGTGAAGGCCAGCTTGCGCGGGTACGAGCGATCGCAAATGCAGAGGAAGACGAGGGCATCGTTGATGAGGTAGCTGCGACGAGGGTTAGTGGCATTGTCGCCGGGGTCTCACAGGAGGCTCTCACTCACTGGACGGTGTATTGGCCGCCTTCAATGCTGGCCTGCGGCTCGGAGTTGCGGTTGACGCGGCGCAAGATCTGCTTGACCTTGTTCTTGATGTCGACGAGTTCAGACTGTGACTTCACACCAATGTCAGCTTGGGCTTCGCGCGCCGCCGGCAAGGGGTGACATACCTGTTCATCGTCGACGGAGGCAGCCAGGATCAGGCCTAGACCGGATCAGCAAGCTGCAGGGGCTACGACGGAGCTCTGGTGATCTGCCGGCGGGCAAGGTGTTGAAGATTTGGGGAAGGGGGAAGCTCACCGTCCAACCTCGCGACTTGGGTAGACCTGATCATGTTGATGCGGGCTTGCGCGGGGCATGCGCATCCACAGGTCAAAGGAGGCTGAAGAGGTGGAGGTGGTGGTAACGTGTCGAGACTGGGGGTGTGGGGGAGAGATTGGAAGGGTGGGTAAGTGACGCTCGGTTCGCTACGGCCCCCAGGCCGAAAAAGACTCCCGCAGGCTCACCAGCGTCATCATCCCTGCCCCGTGCACGCCAAGCAGTACTTCAACACCATCTCGTCGAGGCTGCTTGTTAAGCTCCTAGCGTATCTGGCGGCTGTTGAAGGGAGGAGAAGCTGGAGTGGAGGCAAGGCCTTGGACGCAAATGTCGGACCTGCCCACGCCAGTAACGTACACACGTCCTCGTCGTTCAACTCACAGCTACGTGCTAGCCCAGCGCGCGCCAATTGCCTACTCAAGGGGCCTGCTGCTTGTCTGGAGCTGCGTCAAGCCCCTTCTCATCGGAGCCTGGGTGCAGCTTACCACCCGCAACAGCCGCACACATATCCTCGTAAGGAACACCATCTCCCGCTGCCTGCAGCGCTGCAGCTTCATCCTCCTCGCCGCTGCATTTGCTGCAGTAACTTACCTCCTCTACCTTTACAGCCTCCGACTGGCCGACTCGCCGCTGCGGCAGCTCCAGCTCTGAGACGTTGTGCCGTCCTCGGCCCGTTGTCTTGCCCACCACCCCAGCGCCTTCCTTCCCACGCGCTCACCGGCGACCTCTGACCTGCACGACGCGTGACGTCGCCGCTCCTGCCTTCTTCTGTTACGGCGCCCGCTGGCACTTTAAAAACCCCCCTCCGCCTCCGACACCTTCTTCTCTCCTTCATCCTCTTCCTCTCGGCGAGCAGCTCACAGCACGCAGCGTCAACGTCACTCACACGCCGCAGGCTGCACTTCACGAGCTTTCTCTCCCTCTATCTTTGACGCCCACCCTCACATCTCAACCTCGCACCGACAGAGCTCCAACTTCTGTTCTCATTGATCCTACTTGTCTTTCACATACCTCACCTCTGTGCACCATCGCTCACATGGGTTCTCCTTCACGCGACGAGGCGTCCGACATGCACGCCGTTCGTGCTTGCTCTGACATAGCGTTGCCGGACTACCCCAATCACTCAGAGTTCTTCACAACTGTGATGAACCAGCCACATGGTCTTCCTAACTCTCCGGATCTACTTCCAAGCGATCCCGCTGAGTTGAGCAGCATGGCCCCTGAAGCCACGAGTGAGCCTCCTCCAACGCTGGAGAGCGACCTGCCTGAGATCACTCTTGCTCCGCCCATGCCGGAGAGTTCTACAGAGAGACGTCCTCGCAAGCGCCAGAAGGTGGCCCACGACAACGCCGATGATGACTTCTCTGGTTCTCAGCATCTCATGGAGCCGCGTACACGCTCTAGGCGCGCCATTCCAGTCAAGAAGTACGTGGAGGCTGATTCCGATGCTGATTTCGAAGAGTCATCTCCGATCATACCTTCGACCAGAAGGGGCAGACCTCAGCGTGGTGCCAAGAACGCGGATCCGGACTTCCTCTTGCAAGATCCTTCTTCTGCTCTTGCCCATGCCAACGTTGCTGTAAGTCATGCTCACATCCATTCCTACTGCCTCCTCTCTCCTCGACATCCCCGCCACCCTTTCCGACCTTCCCCTTCACCATCTACTGTCACCCATGTCTGGAGCCGCTGATTGCTGACACGTCCAGGCGATCTTGAAGCACCCACTTGCTTGGGATAGCCTCCTACCAGTTCAACAGATGGAGTTGAACCAGATGTACCCGATCCAACCTCTCCGACTTGGCTCGCCCATCACCCTTCCTCAACACTCTGGAGGAATGCTCACCCAACCCCGTACTGTTCCCCAGGCAGTCATGTTTAACACCGCTCTGCAGTCTGACATCGCGCTGTTCAAAGAGGACCTTGAGTGTGGTCGTCTCGAACCTGAGTGGCAGCAGGACGGCATGGCCGCGATGGAAAACCGTGCCCGCGGTGACTTTGATGATTGGAAGGAGCAAGAGTCTGAGAGTTTCTGGGGCCAGCAGCAGAGGTTGCCTTACGAGGTTCTGGCTGGTGAGAGCTCCAGCGTCCGCTTCGATACTCTCGTCGCGGCTGGCAAGTTCAGAGTTGGTGATGTCTGGACGTACCGCCGGGGTTTCGGCAAGGGCGCGCAGTTCTTTGCCGTTGACAAAGAAGCTACGGTAAGTTTTCAGCCCAACCTTCCCGTCGACTCGAATCAGCCTTCGCATCGATGTTTGTCTTGTAACAATGCTGACATTTTTCATAGATTGTTCAGATCACCCCAGACAACAAGCTTGTCTTCACTTACCCTCCCGGCATCCACAAGTACTCCTCGGTCTACAACGGTCCAGATCTCACCAGCGAGCCGATCGGTGGTCCGCAGCCATTGGCCGATGCCCTCATCCACGCCGACGGTCGCAACGCTAGCTGGCGCCAGGTCAATGCCTGGAAAGAGTTCCGATGTGCTCGAAACTATCAGGACATGGGTACGTTGTGGGAGGTTCGTGAGCTGTACTGGGCGAACGATCGCTCCGACTGAGGGTTGAGGCTCCTTTGCACTGTTCTACACCACTGCTCTGCACACTTGCCTTTTTCATTTCGTCACATACAGATTCCTCAGGGGTACAAATGGCTATGGGTTTGCTTCGAAGGCGTAATTTGTCGGGGGTAAGAAGGTGTTTTCACAAGAACGGCGAAGATGGCCGGTTGCTGGCGCAATGGCATGGACACATGGCTGACGGCGATGACTTCTTCATGCTGGACGATTGCTGCGACATTCGACTCTGTCACACACTGCTTACTCTCCATGTTTTCTTTGCATGATACCATTCAGCATGGTAGAAGGTAGCTAGCGATGGGCATAGATTTGATGACATAGATACCCGCTAATGAAAGGGCTACATTTCCTAAACTTGACTTCTCCCGGTGACTTGACATGACCTTGGCGGATTGAGTGCCTGCCATCTTGAAGCTTGAGGCGAGATCGACTGACTTTGGTGTTGCACCTTGGCCGCGACAGCAAACTGTCACGTGACCGGCCGGCGCGCCGCACCTTGGCGCCTGCCCGCGATGTTAACTGCCGCACCAACGACGCGTCTTGCGCTGCGCCTTGGCGGGCATTAACACAGAGACGCGTCCACTGCGCGCATGCACGTGGTGGCTTGAAATCTCAGCAGCGCCCTGACGCCGGGCCTCCATGCCCTGACGCGCAGATCGACCAGCAAATCGCAGCAGCGCAACCAACAACCCGCCGAGCCGCGACCCAGCGCCCGCGCTAGGCTTCCCCGCCGCGGGCGCGAGTCGGCTAACCTTCCCCAAGAAGAGGCGGCGCGAGGTGGCGCCCCGCTAGAAACTGCTGCGACTGCAACTGCGACTGCGACAAGCTGCGACCTGTCTGCGACATCATTGCACGACTTGGCGATTGCACGACTGGGCGAGAGACAAGACAAGACAAGACAAGAGGGGCAGCACGACACAGCAAGAGACACGAAGCACAGGCAAGAGTTGGGTCATACCCTGTGGACAGCACACGGGTTTTGGACGAGAGGCGCGCGCGCATCGCGACATCCTGCCCATAACCAACCCAGGCGCAGTCTTACCGACGCACCACATCCCGGCTCAACACAAATCACACGCACGACCATCCCCAGCACTCACACACGACACCTTTCCCTTAAAGCCAAGATGGCTCACCCAGCGCCCACGGCGCGCGAGCTGCAGCACCGCCGCGCGCACAATCTGCTGCTGGTGTCGAAGCTGCTGGGCGGGGCGCCGATGCGCGAGAACGCGTCGCCGTTTACGCTGGTCGTTGATGGGGTGGAGATGGGTGGTGGGGGCCTTGTGAGGGAGATTGTTAGAAGGGCGGGGGTAGGTTGGGGCTTTCTTTTTCTTTTGCTGATTGCTTTTTTCTGCTTTTTGCTGTGGGGTTTTTTTACTTGGAGGCTGACTTTGAAACAGGCAGCAAAGACAAAGGTGGTGTTTGTGGCGTTTGAGACGTTGAAGAGGCCGGCGGGCGTGGATGAGTTTGTGAGGGCGGGGAGGATGGGACTGCAGGCGTTGGGGAAGGAGGTCGGGAAGCATCTTGGTGCGCCGGTGGGCGGGCAGAGTAAGTAGCTCCTATTATTCGCTCGTTTTGGAAATTATCATCATGAGTGGACGTGGCGGCTAACTATGTCTACAGAAACGCTCCTCATCTTCGACACGCTCAACCCGCTATGCGCAACCTCGACCAGCGCGCTCCCGCTCTTCCTCTCCAGCCTCATCTCCCCCACCACCTCCCTCCTAGCAACCTACCATGCAGACATCCCGCTGCCGCCGTCTGCCGCGCTGCCGTACTCCCCGCACCCGCTCACCCTGCTCAAGTACCTCACCACGACCATCTTCACGACGCACTCGCTCGCGCACATACTCGCGCAAAAGGCCGCCGCCGACCGCAGCGTCGCATCGCCGGTGTACGGGCTCGCCGAGGAGGTCGAGGGCGTGGTGCGCGGCCTCGGCGCCAACGACGCGCGCGGCACCGTCATCGAGATGGAGTATCGGCGCAAGAGCGGCCGCGGGGTGCGGGAGTGGTTCTTTTTGCCTGCGCTGTCGTCGCCGTCGACGGCCGCAGCGCCCAAGCCTGTGGGCGGCCGCCCAAAGGAGACGGTCATCCTGCTTGAGGATCACCCGCTGTATCGCCGCGCGCCGGAGGCGGGGCCGCTGGCGGGTGAAGACGAGGAGCCCGACTCGACGTTTAATCTGGGGTTGACGGAGAAGCAGCGCAGAGACCGCGAGGGCGTCGTGTTGCCGTACTTTGATGCGCAGAGGGAGGTGGGCGATGGGGGCGAGGGCGGGCGCATCTTGTACGATATGGGCGAGGAAGACGACTTTGACGAGGAGGAAGACGAGATCTGATAATGTGCATCTCTCAACCTTCTCTGGCGTCTCGTGAAATTGGTGTTGCGCTTGCGCAATGAGCGCTCACGCGCCGACCCGGAAAGCCTGGCATGTCTTGGCGCCAAGACCAGCGCGCTCCCAGCCAGCCCTGCGCTCGGGCCTCTTGCGCTTGTGCCTGCGCTGTGTTGCGTTGCGCTCTCTTGTTCCCCCATCCATCCCCGCGACGTGACTTTTCCTTCTCAGCACACGCACCCTCGCCGTGCACCCCTCCCACTCGCACGCACGTCTGCGCCGACGCTCCTGCGAGCGCGCACTGCTGGACACATACGCTTCCTTCGCGCACCCTAAGTCGACTTCGCCGCCTCGACCGCTTCGTGGACCGCCTTCTTTCTTCCTCGTACGTACGGCTGCGCGTACGCCGACAATCTGCTTCCGAGAGACACGGCTGCCATAGACTGCGCGCTACTGTAGCTCTGCCTGCTTCGCTCTCCTCGCCGGCTTCGCACGCATCGCTGCACCTCTCGCACCGCTCGCACCACAGCCATGGCCGAGCCGCCCAAGCGCTCTCGCCGCCCGGACAGCGCGTCCATGTGGGATGATCGCCCGCCGAGAGACCGCGACAGCCGCGACAACCGGGACCGCCGCGACGGTGGAGGACACGGCGGCCGTGATAGGAGAGATGGACGGGATGGACGGGATGGACCGCGCAGCCGTGATCGGCCCAGGAGAGGTGAGGTGGTTTTCTTCTTTGCTGCCCTGGCGTGCCTTGACTTTCCTTGCTTCGCTATGGCTGATCACTAGACTGGGCTGGCGCTTCGGGACATCAAGGCCACGGCAACCACCAGCGACACAAGCAAGCTAACCATCGCCGCCGCGCAGACGACGAACGCGTCCGCTCCCGCTCGCCACGCGACTCGCGCCACGACCGAGACGCCCACCGCAACCGCAACGCCCCCGACCGACCGCGCGACCGCGACGCGGGCGCAAGACGGCGCTCTCCTCCCCCTCCGCGAGGCCCGCGCGGCGGAGCCTCCGCGCACGCAGCAGCACCCAGCAGGCCGGGGCCCAGCAGCCGCGCCGACAATCCCCCGCCGTCGACGAGCATGGATGTGGATGGCGATGATGACGACGAGGAGGCGCAGATGCGCCGCGTCATGGGCTTTGCGGGGTTCCGGAGCACGAAGAACACAAAGGTGCCGGGCAATGATCGGAATTATGCGGTGCGCAAGGAGAAGAAGACGGAGTACCGGCAGTACATGAACAGGGTTGGCGGGTTCAATCGCCCGTTGTCGCCTAGTAGGACTTGAGGTTGAGGGAGGAGTTAGTGGGGGGATGGATGGACGGGGAGGATTCAAACTACAGCTTCTTCTACTATTGCTTCCTTACTGCTCGCACGCAGCCTTGGCGCGGGATCCCATAAAACCAATTCGCGCACTCAATCTCAAACCCAGACTCGTAGATTCACACAGCACGCACGCGCGGCCGCACTTTTGGCGGCGGCGGTGGCGACGCGTAGCGCAGGTGGCCATAGCTCCCATCCATCCCGCATGCCAATGCCACGTCTCCCTCACGTCCGTCCTCCGCTGCTGCTGCTCCCACGCACGCACAACCAATCTCTCCATTGATCCTCCACTTCAAGACCAACAACAGACACGGACGCACGCTTCCGCCCAATGGTCCGCCTGAAAGCCCGTCGCCACGGCTTCAATGCTCGCGCGCTTTTCGTCGGCGCGCTTGCCCTCTCCACCACCGTCGCCGCCGCTGCAGATGCCGACTCCGATGCCGCAAACTCGGCAAATGCGTCTCCAGAGGTATTGGAGCTCCAGAAAGCAGGCAACGACTCCCTGCTCTGGGGCCCGTACAAGCCGAACCTGTATTTTGGCGTCCGGCCCAGACTGCCCAAGAGCTTGAGTGCGGGCTTGATGTGGGCGCGCGTTGATGATTACAGTAGTGTGCAGTATAGTGAGTTTGTGCCTCGTGCCCTCGCTCTATTCAGGCTAACAATTGAATTAGACTTCCGTCACACATGCGAGCAGCACGAAGGCATGGACGGCTACGGCTGGACCGAGTACGACGCGCGCACGGGCGGTCGGCAGGTCGTGCACGACGCGGGCAACAACATTGATTTCGAGACCGACTTTGTCAAGGTGCCCGGCGGCGAGCACGGCGGCAGCTGGGGCGTGCGTGTGCGCGGCACGCCGCGCGCCGACTACGCAGACCCCGACCATCTGAAGACGACGGTCGTCTTCTACGCGTCCATGGAGGGCTTGGGACACTTGGAGGTGGGCAACGACGAGGACGATCTGGGCTACGCCGACGACGTCGTGCTCAAGGGCCAGGGCCAGGGCCTGGGCGATTTTGAGCTCGTCGTCACGCAGGGCAAGGGCGAGCATCCCCCGCCCAGGCATCCCAGCTATCACGAGCGCCCGCTGGCGCGCAGTATTGTGCACTCGTTCCAGGTGCCGGATGAGGTGCTGTGGCAGACTAAGCGTGAGTTGACGGTGCTGTGGCCGAGGTGCTGCGCGCGATGCTGATGGTCTGTTTGCCAGCGATTCTCTTCAACCACCTCAAGCAAAACGTCGACAGCGTCTTGAAGAAGTACGGTGAAGGCAACTTCCCTCCCCCGGAGGCCGTCTACACCATCTCCAACGATATTGGCATGGGCAACCTGCACATGGTGCAGAAGGTCTTTGAGGGCCCCTTCGAGGTATGTTTCTTTCCTGCCATGGATGAGAGGCAGCGCATTGACAACCGCAGTTCGACATCCTCTTCTCGTCCGCCTCGGCCGAAAAGCCCATGACTTCTGACGACCTTACGACGCGCCTCGAGGAGGCTACGACGGCCTTCTCGAAGCGCTACCGCGAAATCCTCGCCCCGCAGGCGCCGTACGACACGGCGCGCTACGAGGAGTTCTCCAAGTCGCTATTCTCCAACCTTGTCGGCGGCATCGGCTACTTCCACGGCGACGCGCGCGTCGACCGCTCCTACGCGCCTGAGTACGACGAGGACAACGAGGGCTTCTGGGAGGAGGCGGCCGAGGCGCGCGCGCGCAACCAGCCGAAGCTCGAGGGTCCCAGCGAGCTGTTCACCAGCATTCCGTCGCGGCCCTTTTTCCCGCGCGGCTTCTTGTGGGATGAGGGCTTCCATCTGCTGCCGGTTGTCGACTGGGACGTTGATCTTACGTATGTTTTCTGCCCGTTCTGACTGACGTTGACGACGATGTTGCTGACACCAACACAGCCTTGATATCATCAAGTCTTGGTTCAACCTCATGGACGAGGACGGCTGGATCGGCCGCGAGCAGATCCTCGGCGCCGAAGCGCGCAGCAAGGTCCCCGACGAGTTCCAGGTGCAATACCCGCACTACGCCAACCCGCCGACGCTCTTCTTCATCCTCAGCGCCTTCATCGAGAAGCTCAACGCCCTACCCAGCACCGAGAAGCAGGGCGAGCAACAGCAGCCCCTCGGCAGCGCCTCCGACTCGCCCTACCAGCTGCACCTCCAGAATCGCGCCGTCGGGACGCAGTACCTGCGCGACCTGTACCCGCTCCTCAAGCGCCACTACTTCTGGTTCCGGCGCACCCAGGCCGGCGACATCAAGTCGTATGACCGCACCGCGTACAGCACGAAGGAGGGGTACCGGTGGCGCGGCCGCACGCCCGCGCACATCCTGACGTCGGGCCTGGACGACTACCCGCGGGCGCAGCCGCCGCACCCGGGCGAGCTGCACGTCGATCTCCTGTCGTGGGTGGGCCTGATGACCAAGGGCATCCGCGACGTGGCGGCGTTCCTGGACGAGAGCGACGACGTGACCGAGTTCGCCAAGTACGAGGACGCGATTCGGCACAACGTGCACGACCTGCACTGGGACGAGGCGGCGGGCGTGTGGTGCGACGCGTCGATTGACGAGTACGAGGAGGACGTGCGCGTGTGCCACAAGGGCTACGTGAGCCTGTTCCCGTGGCTGCTGGGCCTGGTGGACCGCGACGACGCGCGCCTGGCCAGGGTGCTCGACGTGCTGGCTGATCCTGAGGAGTTGTGGTCCGAGCATGGCATTCGCTCGCTGAGTAAGGCGAGTGAGTTCTTTGGTTCTGGTGAGAATTATTGGCGCGGGCCCGTTTGGGTCAATGTTAATTATTTGGTGTTGGCTGCGTTGAGGGTATGTTTGCTTTTTTCTCTCCCTTCCCTCCTCACCCATCCCCTCCTTCCCGCCTCCTTCCCCGTCCTCTCGCCCCTCGTCTTGCTTGCAGCTCAAGATAACTAACCATCCCTCTCTTTCACGCAAACAGGACCTCGCCACGCACCCAGGCCCGCACGCCGCCCGCGCAGCAGAACTGTACGCCTCCCTGCGCCGCAACGTCGTCGACACAGTGTTCAAGGCTTGGGAGGAGACGGGCTTTGCCTGGGAGCAGTATGATCCTGATTCGGGCAAGGGCCAGCGCACGCAGCATTTCACGGGCTGGACGAGCTTGGTTGTTAAGGTGCTGGCGATGGGTGAGGTTGAGGAGGTGGGGAAGGGTGGTGTTGAGGGTGGGCATGATGAGCTGTAGTGTTTTTGTGTTTTTGTAGGGGTGGAGGGGGAGGGGGGGTGTTGTGTTGTGTTTATGGGGTGGAGGCGGAGATGGTAGATGGTGATGGGTGTGGGGGGAGGGGGATTGGGTGTAGATATGTATGTATGTAGGGCAGTATGTATGCCATTCTTTTACTGTTACTGTTACATTACATTTCGTGCTTGCTTCTTCGCCTCGTCTGCTCTCTTTCCCTCCCTTCCATTGTCATCCTCATGTCCCTCTCCTACCTTGTCCCCCATCCCATCCCATCCCATCCCACCCTGCACACACACACACCAACCCCCCTACCCGCCCCAACCACTATAACCCCTTCCAACCGCACCACCCTACATACATCGCACCCACGCACCATCATCAAACATCCTTCTTTTCCAGCAACCCATCCATCCATCCATCCTCCTTACTCTATAGTCTGTACTGTACCCACCCTATCCGTCCGCTATTTTGTTTTTTCTTCGTGTTTACGCTGCTCTGCACGTCTGCATTCTGTAGTGCCTTTTGGGGCTTGAAGGCTTGAGGGAGGTGGTGGGGATGTGGTGTTGGTGGGTGTGTTGTGCTGCGCGGCGGAAGGCGGGAGGCGTGTGGGGTGGGGTGTAGGGTGTTTGTGCGTGTGTTGTGGAAGGTGGGTGGTCGCTTGTTTGGGGATGACGAGGATAAGCCATGCCATCGCGTCTTTTGCTTCGCCGTACCTTACCCATCTCCAAGCATTGCAGCACGAAAGCTGGTTCACTGGTTATTCTAAGTCTTAAGTCCGCTGCGCGCGGCTGCGTAGTGTTTGGTGTTGAGTAGAAACACAGGCGGGTACCTGCACTGTTTGTTGCTTTGCTTGTCCAGTGTCCACGGCACATCCTCCACGATCCACAGAACCCCACAAAGCCAACACAACCCACCCAACCAAACAATGGCGTCCCATAATACGTTCCCCTCTTCCTCTCTTCCTTTATGTAATTCCGCGGCCTGCGCTGCCCTTCTCGACCCTGAGCGCGCTGGAGCAGCTGCGCCGCGTGCAGCTTTCATGACGGCGGATCCGCGTCCGCGTTTTTTTGATTGGGCGGATGGCATTTTGATGTCTTTGGTGGGTCTTAAGTAGGTAAAACTGAAAGTGGATTGTTTTTATGGGTTTTAGTTTGGTTTGCGTCTTTTAATGGCTTCTTGTTAGGTGGTTTCGCATATGGAATTGGTGTCATTGGTCATTTTTTCTAGTTTTTGGGTATTTTTCTTTTCCAAAATGCGACTGTAGCAGTCATGTTAGGCTCTAAAATGTATTTTTGCCTCTTTTTCTTCCTGATTCTTGTGGTCTCTCTGCCCGTCGACATTCCTTGCTCTTAAAAGTTTATACTGTTTGACACTAACTCTGGCGGAATGCCTTTACCGCTTGAATGCGCGTGTAGGACGTGGAGACAACTTCGCAGGGCGCTGAATTACTGGCAGTCAAGGCATTGGAAGTGTTTTTAGATAGAGATGGGTGAATCAGAGCGTGTTTGCTGGGCATGTTTCTCGTACGGGCTCGAATTGGCAAAGATGAAGATGGGGCGGGCAACTTTTCTTGTTGGAAAGGCCAGTCATCTGCGTGCGGTTGCTCTGTTGGCACTGTTCTGGGTTGCGAAGATATATTCAAATCTTCAAGGCTTTATCCGTCTTTGAGTTGTGCGAAAGCTCTTGTCCGCGGGGCAGCGCGTGCTGTTTTGGGGAGGACTATCAGATATAAAGGAACCAACTGTAAGATGATGGGACTGCTTGAACCAGTATGTCTCTTGAGTTCCATCATACTCGTTTGAACCTGTTATCAGCTTATGAAGTCAGTCACCGCATAGAACCATGGAGGCGTTGATCGTAGAGGAGATACTCAATTTCATCCTAAGAAGGCCATGCCCAGGCCTCTACACAATGGAGCCATAAATCGCCCTCCGGCATTATCCGGGTCACTCCATAAAAGCCTCCACCATCCGCTCAAGATTTTCTCAATCTTCATTCCAGAGAGGTATTGTCATTGCCTGAAAAATTCCGTTCAACCCGCAACGACATACCTCACTGGCACCACAGCTACACCTTCATCAGAGCATGATGCAGCGCTCCTGCTGGGCCCGCGAGACTGCAGTAAATACGTACTGGGAGGACGTAGGTGATCTCGGGGTAGTAGGGCGTTCAACATCATCGTCCTCAACCGAAGGCGGTTGGTACCCGTGCGTGTGCAACTTGGTAGACTGCGAGAAGGTGGACCGGCCCGATGGCTTCGAGGTAGTTTCCGGCTCCTTGAGGTCTTCGTCGCGCTTCTTGACCTTGGACTTTATCTTGAGGGGAATCAGGACGGAGGTAGTCATCGTACCCTTGTCGACGTAGGTAGTGGTGCGCCGGATCGCCGTTATGGCACTGCTTTCAGAGGAAGCACCATCGAAGCTATCCTCTCCAGCTGTGGTGTTGTTGTCGAAGTTGCTGCTATAAACGTCAGTAGTAGGTGTAGGGGCTCACTCAAGGAAGGAGGTGACAATGTCGGAGTTGCTGTCAATGTCGTCCTGAAACACTCCGTAATGTGCCATCAAAGTCGGATCCTTCTCAAAGAGCTTCGAGACTTCGCCCTTCAGATTCACCAACAGCGCCAGCAGCGACTTCAAGCGGAAGGGCTGGGGTCCACCAGTTGCGAGCACCGTCTGGTTAGTCTCGGGGCTCATCTGCGCGACGACGAAAGCCTGGAATTGCAGGTCCTCCTCAGAGCGCTCGAGGGAAGCTTGGACCGGGCCTATGGCAATCACGATCGAGGTCGCGGTCGGGTGGAGGATCATGATGTTAGCTGAAACGTGTTAGGTGCGCGGCTTGCAGCGCGAGGGGGGTGACGGAGAGAGCCATACTCTCGATTAGCTTGTACAGGACCTTCTCATTGCTGACATTGGCCATCTTGTCGGTGTTTGGCCTTGAAAGGAGGCCGGGAATGGTGGTGGATGGTTGGATTGTTGGAAGCGACTTGAGGTGCGCGGAGGACGTCAGAAGCGCATTAGCGCGGCCTCTGAAATTCTAGGTGTTGATGGCATAAGACACCCAACACCTACACATCCTACCTATGGGGGAAACACAAATAATAAGGACAGGGGATCTTCAATTTGAGCTCTGTCCCACCTCATGGCAAGGCGTTGCCCAAGATATAATGGTCGTCTTTCAATGCTCTCTCCTACACAACCTGTCGAACATACCGACATGTTACGTCGAGCTTCATGAATGATAGATACGGCAATTGGGCAACCAAACGCAAGTTACAGCCACCAAACCAAGGTATTTTTGCCGCGATATTTTGAATGTTAGGAGCCACGGAAGATCACAACCCGCCAAAACTTCTGTTCTTGCAAGGTCGAATGAGTAGCGAAGGCCGTTCAAATCTCTCCAAGCCCAAGCTCCCCGCTGTCCATAATTGTGTTATAGAGAAGAGTAATGACAGATATACACCTCTGCTCGTTCAGTGATGATAATTCCCTTGCAGAACTTGATCCTCTTCCCTCGCAGGCTCCCAAAATGTAATATACAAATAAAAAGCCAGCTTGTTCACAATGATCTTCGCAAACCTGTTGATTCCATGGCCACATAGTGATTCCCAGGCGTGCTCCAAAGCCGCCGCGGGCCGGCAGCGACCCTAAGCACGTCACTGCATCGCAGCCCGTTAGTCAGCCAACCACAACGACCTTCCACGACCTTCTCTATGTCATCATTCTGCTGTAACTGCGCACGCACGGTCCTCTCCCCTGGGATATATAAGTCCCCTCCCCCACGCCCAACTTACTCTTCTTTTTTTCCTCATGGTCTCCCTCAGACGTTTCTGCTGAGGGCACTAGTTCTGTCTTGACTACAGAACTGCTTCGGTCGCTGCCTTTTCCCGGGCGGCACCCTAGCAACCCATTTTTTGGACCCTGTGCAGCGGCTTCAATGCCCCTGCCACTGTGTCGCCCGTATTGCACTTTTTTGGGGTGACGCGAACCTTGTTTTCATTGAGCTGCTCGGCTTGCCTGGGCTCTTGAAGAAGACATTCTTGCTTCTTGGTTATTCTCTACTTGCTGGCTTTAGTGGTTGATGATGCTGCTGGCTGTGAGCTGCTTGGGCGCAGTGTCTAGCGCCAAATTGAGGTTCCGCTCACGCCTAGGCCAAAGGATCACAGGCGTCAGCGACGCTTATCCGCTTCTATTCCCTTGGATGCCACACTTTACGTGGCCGAGTTGTTGGTGCTTCGGTTCAGCATGCTTGCGAGCCTTTTTTGACAGCTCTTCAGCGTTTTCTGTGAGCGCAGCCTCTCAGGCGTAGGTGCCGAACCCACAATGGCAGACATAACAGCAAAATAAACCAGCGGAATCCTTGGAGTAACAATCTCAATCGCTTTGCCACTCTCTTGCGCACCTACTTCGCTGAAGGTGCCTCAGTACCCACAGTCAGGCCAGGACATGACCGGCGAGCAAACACCCGAGTGCAGCAATGAGTTTCGACGACAGCAGGAAGCGGAAGGCTCAGCATGAGGTCTTACCGGGTTGTTTAGCTTTTTCCGCCCTGAAAGAGTGTCCAAGCGAGCATTACAGAGTTAACATAGCTGACAGAGCAACAGGTAATGCACCAGGGAAAGAGAGTCGCCCTCCGCATCTCAAACATGCCCAACCCTTCGAGGACACCTGCGACCACGTCTCAGGCTACCATGTAAGCACATTCCCGGCTTTCCTATCGCCAAAGCCAGACCCCGGCTCTCTGGCGACATACCACGACGAAATACCGACCCTCATCCTCGGAAAGGCTCGATGTAACCCCGCCTTCCACTTGTTGGTACCCTGCTCCGTCCACCCGCGCAAGAAGTTCCACTCGATCACAAGTATCACTTTCTCACATGCTCGCAAAAGTCCAGGGATCGCGAAACACGACATGACACGGACACAGAACCAGAGAGAAAAGGACGACGAAGCAAGCCAGACAAGAGCGGCAGCGCTTCCACACCTTGCGAAAAAGCGGCTCACTCCTCTGCAATCCCAGACAAGAAGCGCCACGAGGCTTTACTCTGCCGTTTTCGAAAACGCGCCCCCAGCACAAGATTACAAGCGACGCTGCCGGAGAACCGGAAATAACTCAGCCTTGCTGACCAAGCGACTAAAACTTGGAATGGAGCATCACGGTGATGGCAAAGTTGATACAACCTCTGGACGAGGCCGGCGAGGGTGTCGGCTCTACCTTTCTCATTTTCCATGATTACAAGTATCTGGCATGGTAACCTTGATTTCTATCATGCCGGGCCAGCCATCGCAGAGACCCGACCACCCCAATACCGAGCCCCTCCACTTCCCAATCCAGAAGCCAGAAGCGATGCCCACAAACCCCCTCCCAGTGTTGAACGTAGGCTGCAATGTTTCGTTCGAGACTCAGAAGAAGAGAGGATGTTTCAGAGGGTGAGGTTAAGGACAGGATCAGGAACGAGGCAGAGGCGGAAAAAGACAAGAAGAGGCCTAAGAGCACAGCGAAAGGGGCGGTAGGCGTAACGGTGTGTGACAGTGCTTCGAGCGGGCGATGATGATAGTGTAGGGGACTCGGGGAGCCTGTCGTATGCAGGTCAAAGAAGCTGGAAGCGGAGGCCGCCCTTGTGCCTAAGTGCTCCCGTAGTCGCTATTAGAAGAAGATTATAATAAGAAAGTAGGAAAGCAGTGACTAGAGCGCGCTGCCTTTAGTGCCAGAATGTTGCTTCGAAAGTTTTTGATCGCGAGTGGGCAAGAGGAGCGAGATGTGGGAAATGGTCATGACATGCACGCACGCGCGAGTGTCTGTAGGTTGATTTCTTCTCAATTGTGCACCTCCGGGACGTTTGTCGGTTATAAACTTTCAAGTATCTTTATAAACTTCCCCCAAGCAGACCATGACCAATCCAAAGTTCCCAGCCAGTGATAAACATCGAGCTTCATCATGTCCTTCCATGCTTTGCTTTGCTGTTCCTCTCTCTTTCACTCGCGCCGCTTCCGAGCTTCCTCTCCATGCCACGGCGCCGTTCTTCGTCCGCGCGCGCAACGGTCTGTGTTTGTGCCACTGGCAGATTGGCGAAAGGTGTTGGAGCTGCTCTGGCGTTGAAAATCGAAGCGAAGAGCCACATCCTCCTTCGGAGGGGGCGCTTCCTTTGCCGGAGCCCTAGATCTGTGAGGCCGAGGGGAAAAGGTGCGCTCACGAGATGATCTGTCACGACGGGCCGTATGGCGGAGCATGTTCTTCGTCAGCGTGCGTATCGGCCTGCGCCTGGCCACTGCCGTTTGAACGGTCAGTTTTAGAGTTGTCCTGGCGTTGGAAGTCGTTTGGCGGAGCAGGGCGCGGCGGTGCGCAACCAGATTACGACAGAGCCGTTCAACTTGTCTTCCACCTGGACGTTGACTTCTTTGGCTCCGGGAATGCAGAGCCTCTTTTCGTCAGGGTTGGTCAAGCGGAGAACGCCATTTCTGCACTGGATGCCACCAATGGATTGTCCAGTTGCTCCTTGAGTCTTGGGCCACTGAGACTTCTGATAGCCAGGGGGGCAGGCATATGAACAGAAGGCGCCCTCGACGCAGCAGTCCTCACCGTCGCAGAGGTTGGAAACCATGGTTTCCATGTTGTTTATGGTTTAACCTAGAGTTGTCTCACCCACCGGCCCCTCGATGGGTCTTCCGAGGCTGGTGGTCGAACTGCTTGCCGACGTTGATGAGGTGGATGAAGCATGTGTTAAGCTCCTTGTAAGCGTTCAGGTTCCAGAAGGGATCAAGCCAGTGGCCGTGGTACAAGTGAGCATAACACCTCATCATCTGGCGATAGACGCTCTTGATATCTTCCTTGAAGTTCTCCTGGAATCCGAAGGATTTGCCGACCCAGTCGTGGCCGGTGAGTTGGCTCAACGGTGCGTTCAGCGAGGTTGGCCCACCAGCAATGGGCGAGTTCGCGCCAGGCGTGTCCAGACCTGCGGTAGACAGGGGGGGAGGGGCCCCGGAACAATAGACAGGCGGGGGAGGGATTTGGGGATGCCGGTCCCCACCTCCTCCATGTGCTGATGAGCAAGCACGTCTTGCCGACGGCTCCGTCACCGACTACGACACATCTGTAAAAGTCTCGGGTTAGCGTACGTTCCAAACCAGCTCTCGCCTCAGCCGTGTTGCACGAAGCAGGCAGGGGTAGTGGCTTTGGATAACGGTATACATACTTGATGGTGGCTACGACCATGTCGATCGTCCCTACTCATTGATGCTGTCAGTCATCTTCGGTTAAGAGAGCTGAAGAACAAGAACTTACCGAAACGATCGATGATGGCCAAGAACTGGCCAACATCAACCGCGGCGCCTAAGGCGCCGACGGGAGGCCTGGGCCGGGGCCCTAAGTTACAGACACCTCGAAAAACGGACAAGAAAACTTGTACCGCTTGCCAACCTGAAAACGAGTCGTGCTCAGGTGTGGAGAAGTTGGGGTTCGTAATGCGCTCATAGGCTTTTAAGCGTCTCAAACTCTCGGCGCGATCTGGAGTTCTGTTGCGACCCTTGTTCCGTGATGGAGTTTGTTTGTTAAAGCGTGGCTGGGGAGCGCTCTGTAAGCCTTGGTTGATAGACAAAGCAACAAGCAGATGATTGCGTAGCTGCGCGGAATGGTGCAAAGCAAATAAAGCAAAGCTATGTTGGTTGTTTCCCGACCATACCGACATGAAGCTCATGTCGTGCAGCGAAGGTGAAGTGATTAGAAGTACACAAGCATGTCGCCATGGGAGTACGACTGGGCCGGATGCTTTTCTTCGAGACGTTTCCCGTACCCTGTCGTTTCAGTTAGCTTCTACACTTGAGCCAGACAGATGAAGAGATCTATTAGGGATTGACTTCATACCGTGACGTCAAGGTGGATGAACAGCTGTCGGCGATGTTATGGCAAGCAGAAGCTCGCCTGAGGAGACACCGCGATGCGAGCATGCTCTCATTCCAATGCTGACCGTGAGGCTCTCGATGAACGCGTGCATATGCTGCTCTGTGATGGAGGTACGGCGATGGAGGAGTTCGGTAACGAAGTGATAAGGATCGTGAGCAGATTATGAACAGATCAGCTGTCGGCGGAGCCACTGAAAGCTAGCAGAGGGTCTGTGCCAGGCATACGCGGCGAGCCCTGTTCGGATTGGAAGAATGGAGAGGAAGAGAGTGGGTGCAGTTGAAGAGGTTGTGGTTGTGAGAGTTGACTGACGTAAGGGAGGTCGTGACGTGGCGGGCATCTGAGGAAGGCATGGGCTGCACTGGTGGCTAGCGTCGCAGGCGCGTTGGGGGTGCAGCACAGCCCTAGTGCAGCCACAAACAGCTAGTGCCTTCACAGTGGAAGTAGCAAGCGCAGATGTTCCCGCGTCAATGGAAAAAGGTGCAGCGAAGCTTCATGACCGCTGTGGAACCTGTTGACAAGCGCTGTACACAGTTTGTCTATCACTGACGAGCGTAGAGTCTCCGCTCCAGCTAATCTCACTATTGCCATATAGTAAAACAAAAACTACTGCCGCCATGCTGCCTCTCACAACACTCTTCTGATCCAGATTCCCCAACGCTGGCAACTCCCCCGTCTCTTGCATTGAACGCCCTCCTACGCTCCTGCAACCGCATGCCCCTCTCTGCCTCATCTTTGATACCGCTGCCCGCCCTATCTCTCTCAGTTATGCACACCAAGTATTGCAAAGACTTATTAAGATAAAGGTCAGGTAATAAGCAGGGTCGCGAGAAATATGCAAACCGGGCCAAGATCTGAGGACAAACGACTACAACGCAAGCAGCAGAATCTCAACCAAATTCTCCGTGGACAGCCCAGATAAGCTGAGTAGCTCAACCAAACAAGGTGCAAGGAAAGACCACGCTCCACAAGGTACCTCAATCCGAGCATAGTACTTTAACAAGGAAGCAGAGTCGAAGACCGAATGAAAAATAGAACAAGAGGGATCATGTCGTCGTAAGATTGCGCAGTTGGCAGGCAGTGACTAGGCTGAAGAATGGGGACGGTAGGCCGGCTGCTGTCGGAAATAAGATGAAAATTCCATGTCTTGGTTCTTCCCTTCGTATGCTCATTTCTTCTGGGATCTGACGAGAATTCCTATGCTATGGACTTACTTCCTGCGCAACCGATGAAAGCGCCATGGCAGTTGTAAGCCATTGACCATCGGCATTTTAAAATAACAAACCACGGAAATGCCACGACACAAACAGCTGTGTTTCTTTGTAGGAAGCAAACACCCTTCATCCAGATCCCAAAGTGTCAGCCAGGATCACTCCGATAACTCTCGTTTTTCCAGCCTTATTACAGTCAGTTGTTACACTACGGCCTTACCCCTTACACCACACGTTTATCCACTGCAAGGGAATAAGGATCTTAAAGAGAAAACGTATTCTTTTAGATAGCAGCATATATACCTCCATAGGTAGTAGTAATTTAGGGGGACAAGCGGCGTCCAATTCCTCGCGCCCAGCTTCACACAAAGCAAGCCGAGTCGCTCAATGGAAACGACACACGTATAGTTCTTTCAAACAAACAGCAGGGTGTCGGCATCCGCATCCTCCCGAGCTAGTGCAATACAACGTCACAATGGCGACGGCCAACCAGCTGAAGTCCAAGCAGCTCCCGTGCTCTGTCAAAAAAATGGTTGGATCAATCCAGTAGCTATGCAGAGGTCAAAACAAAGCCGAGATTGTTTGTGCCAGAGTGCTACCTCGATCCATAGAACAGGGCAAGTATGGCGCTGGACAAGAAGAATGCAACATAAAACGAGGACAATTTGAAGAAAAGGAACGATTGAGACAGAATGTTGGCTTTGTATGTGGGGCCGTTCCTGCTGGGCTGAAGCATTTTCTTTTCTTCGAGTAAACTGTGATATAAACCTAAGAAACCATATAGAGGACAATTGCTCTGACCTTTCGCGCTGTCAATGGCAGATAGCCTTAGCCCTTTGGTGGTCGGGACCAATAAACGTAGGAGGTGTTATTGCAAGCGCGCCGAAACCCCGTCCGAGCCTCTTTCTTCTCTTTTTATGTACCAATGCACCGCTTGCTGTGGGATGTGGGTTTTTTCTAAGCCAAGTGCCTCGATATGATAACTTGGTTTATACGAATTGTAGGAGAACCGAGTGTTCGGCGTGTTGTTTGGCTGTCTAACTGCTCATGCTCTCATGTTAGTGTTGGTTATTGAGGTAGCGGCTTTACATACATGCATTTTGGTGGCGGAGGAGAACCGTCCGATTTAACTTGTCGTGATGATTTCTCTCAGTTGGTCTCGCTCTTGGATGCACTGTTGGGCATTGTCTTCTGCTGTTCAAGTATCTAAAAGTGGGATTTCAAGTGTCCTGTTTGAAGCGGGATGTGGAGTGGCGCGCACCTCGAAAATTGCATTCTTTCTGAGTCGCTCTTTAATTTTCTCTGGTTTGCGGCCTGTCCAAAATGCGTCTCTGCTCCTGGCCGTCGATGTCTTCCCACCACAACGCAATGCAGCATAAATGCGTCGTCTCACCAAGGATGTATTTCCGCATTGCATTTTCGCCGCACCACATCCATCTCAATGACTCCGAAAAGGACGAATCTTCGTGCTTTCTGTGTCCGCACAAAGTCAAAGGAGGAATGCCAAATTGCCGCCCTCGACAATCAAAATCCATCCACCCTCTTGAGGCATTGCAATATTACTTGAAGTAATAGTGGATTAGCCTCTGATAAAAGTGTATACTCAAACCACCGCAAATCCCTTGGTGTTCTTTGCGTTTTCCACTCACCGCCTATACATAAAGATTGCCTCAGAGTTGATTGATTGATTGATTGATTGATTCGTTTTACGTCTATATGCAGTTGGAAACTATGACGGATGGTCCGTTTAGGACTGGCTAGGGGGTTTAAATACAAGATAAAAGCGAGGTGGTGCGAGGGATGGTTGGATCTAGGCCGAGGTAATAAAAACGAAGGAAAGAAACGGGTTTTTAGAGAAGATAGGATGATAAGGAGTGGAACGGAATTATAGGTGTTTTACTCCCCC